GTCAACCTGAGAAGGGTTGTAGGCGTACTGCTGTAAGTCCTGCAATTCTTCAAAGGGTAGCGCATCAATGAGCAGTCCAATGTGCTTGCTGTGTGATTTTGAACATATGTTCAAATTGTATATACTGAATTGATATCATCTGTCATCTAGCTGTTGGTAATTCTGTTTGTGTCCGGACGACTTCCACTTGAATCATCAACCTGAGAAGGAATGTAGGCGTACTGCTGTAAGTCCTACAGTTCTTCAAGGGTAGTTGGTCAAGGCAGAATCCACCACTTTGATGTGCTGATCGTACATATGTTTGTGTTAAATAATTGTGTGAGTTCCGATTATTGTAATTTTTGGTTAATCTTGTTTGTGTCCGGACATTCCACAACTTACAATCGTCAACCTGTGAAGGGTTGCATGTGTACTGGTGTAAGTCCTGCGATTCTACAAAGGAATTCCATCGAGACAGGATCTGCGAGTTTGTGTGTACTGTTTGTATATATGTGTGGTGTGCCATATCAACTGGTGTTTTTTTGGACTCATTGTGTTTACTCGTTGTTTTCGTACCTTGTTGTTATTGCGTAATTTTGTTAAAATTTTCGTCGTGATTACTTCTGAAGTTGTTTCTTGTCTTCTACATCCGTGAATGAATTGACTGATGTTAAGGACAGCAGATGGGTCGTATACGCCGGGGAGGCTAGGCTATTGCTGAGAATGACATGCATACGGAGATAATTGTTAGCTGTGGTCCCACACGCCGGGGAGCGGGAGTGTAGACGGCTGAGGCTTGCGTAAGTCACCGTTACTAGAACTGAGGCAGAATGAGTGACAAGCGATTGCAGTGGTAATTGGTAGTGAGTAGATACGAGGACGTGCGTGGAGTATCATGAGGTGGCGCTATGGTCACGTTGCATTCTGCAAGAGTCATTCAAGCAAGCGGCGATTGTGTTGCAAGATGTCAAGAGGAGGCCTTTATCTGGAGGCGCAGGTCATCATCGATGTGTGAGATTGTGCTGTGAGTATGCTTGTGGTGTTTTGGCTTTTCTGTTTGTTTTCCATTTCAGCTCTGTCCATGTGACCCAGGTTCTCGCAATGGCATCCAAGTCAACGTGCATTGGTCGATCAATTCATGATTGTTTGCTCAAACCCAACTTCCCTATATTTTCGCGGAGACATCGATACACCAGTCATCGTCTCATCGGTCGCTGTTCAGAGAGAAGTCAGGCCAAAACTATCAGAAGTAATGTTGTGATTTATTATTGTAATATTTGTTCATAGACCTTAGTTAAAGCTTAATTTTAAAGTTGGATATATGTTGGTGTTACAATAAAGAATTCTCGAGTAGCCAATCGGTGTTTTGGGTTTTTGTCCGTTATTACTAAGCGTTTCTGAGAAACTTCAAGGAACAGTGTGAGTCCCAGCGTAGCAAGAGCTGGGCATTGACGGTTTACGAGACCTGGCTGACAACAGTCCTCGTCTCATCGGTAGCTGTTCAGACAGCACTTAAAAACACGTCAGAAGTAATATCGTGATTTACTATCGTAATATTTGCTCATAGACCTCAGGTATTATGGTGCTCACATGTTTGTGTTAGAAAAGAATTCTCGAGTCGCCAATCGGTGTTTTGGTTTTGTGTCCGTTAGTACATACCGTTTCTGGAAGGCATTGAGGGACAGCGAGAGGCCCGGCGTAGCAAGAGCTGGGCATTAAAGGTTTTTAGACGTGATTGACATCATCTGAACATTAATCGTAACTGATGCTCAATTTTCAGCAAAGTCGATGGTATCTGGATCCACTCCGAAACGCACTGGTGAGCTTATCAGCCCTTATGCTGATAAGAAAAATATTTACCAGGCTATATGTGTTGGCATGCCTTGACTACGAACGGCTAACCTAAGGCCAGTTTCATCATGAGGACAAAATAATGTAGCATTTATAACCAGAGGCTTGGATTCATGCTGCCACCTATGGGTGAGATGAGACAAGATGCAGTCATCCACCATACGAAGGCCCGTTAGAAGTGGTTACAAAAGACATCAAAAACCTAGTGACTCAGCGAAAGTGTCACAGACGGTGTTGGTATCGACGGATCAAACTAGATCCTTGTAGTGAACAATCTCTTCTCCTGTGTACTTACAGAGAGACTCCCTCAAGTTAGAGTTAGAAACACAAGCTACCAAGGCTGGTAAGCGAGTTGAATAGGCTGCAACTCTGATTGAGAGAAAGCTTATGAGAAAAGCGCAGACGCGATAAAGTAAAAACTAAACACTCCAAAACACATTATTCCCAGGCGATTATACGGCATATCCTCTGTCAATGTAGTTGAAGATTGAACGATCAATTCGTGGTTGTTTGCTCAAACTCAATTCCTCTATATTCTTCGCGGGAGTCATCGATGCTGCAGTCATTGCTCCATCGTTTGCTGTTCGTTGGAAGATGAAGAAAAACTGTCAGAAGTATTATTGTGATTTATTGTTATGACATTTATTCCTGGACCTTGTGTATAATAACCTTATGTTTGGCCCTACAGTGGTGCAAGAATAAAGAATTCTTGCGTCACCATTCTGTGTCCTGGTTTTCGCGTCGGTTATCGGACATAGTTACTGGAAGTCTTCCAAGGACTGTGTGAAGTCAAGCGTAGTAAGAGCTTGACATTGACAGATTCTGAGAGTTGGCTGACATCCTCTATATGGCACTCCTTTTTTGCCAAAAATCTGACAATATAGGAAGAATATGCTTAGGTTATTTTTCTTCATTCTACAAAGATATTAGAAAAACAATTCAGAGTGATTTCGTCCGTGTAGTTTCCACGGAATTTCACTGCAACTCGAAGCTCATGCGAATGCGAGACACGGACATGGATCGGCATTTTATAGGTACATTTACCAGTCGCTTATTTTTGCTGTTGTATGGGAAGCGAATTACTCTTCATGGCGCTATGAAACTATCGACTTCTTCGACTTGTTTCTTTTATCCCTATTTCTGTGACAGTCGTTCTAAGACAATTGACTTAACACCTGTTAAATTGTGAGAGCTTTATAAAATCCCACCACACTGACATGGTGTTGGACAGTCCACTATTGGTAATTTCTTAAGCAACTTCTTCCCCGACCCACTGGGATTTTACCTGCTGTGTGGGTGCTGGATTCTAGTCTTTGTGTGACAAGGTGAACGCATCAGCACAGCATATGCATCGTGCCAACATAACAAAAAGCAAGAAATTCCCACAGGAGTCACGTCCTAAACCAAAGACATTTATGGGCACGCTAACTACCTGACTTTTTCTACGGCTTTCCAAAACATACATACAGCCGTGCTCTGGAGTGCACCCTATCATTGCTCCCCTACCACTTAAAGGGGACGCCAGTTTTCTGGAAAGTGTTTAAAGGTGAGCAACGAAATCAGTTATCGGTCACAGAAATAAACCATACAGTGAAAGGCTGGATAAATTCGATCATTCTGTAGTCAGCCTAGAGATGACCCAATCCCTGTCTACAATATTACAAGTGACTAAGATCATCTAAACAAAGGTATTCCTCCATTATGTCATCAGAGCTCCTTCGTGGCAACCCACGGTGGATGATGTATCAGGAAGCGAAGAATTTGATGCGCCTCCACTCCTCTACACTTCGAGTTTGCAGCCTGTAGTGCTCTTTAGCGATAGTTGTGACTTATGACCCTACAAAGTAAAGCTTCGAGTGGAGGTTGGATAATCATGCAGCAACAAAATGGATGTATCCAAATTGACGATGTACTTGGAAATCACATGTTAGTCTCTGTGAATAGCTACCATCCATGCTCTTCCTTTACCCCTGCTCAGTATGTCTCATTCCACTCTTCTGACGGCTGCAAATGTTCACTTTAGTTATTAAATTTCATTGTATACTTGTTGGCATTAATTTTCATTTTGAAGTCTGCATAATCCGTACTAGTTTCATTTAGTATTACCTTCATTTTTTAACTCCAGCAGGCGACTAGAAAGTCACAGAATAAATTCCATTTACAGCAGCATCATGGTCTTAACACACCGCATATTGCAAACGACATTTAACCAATATTCGTGATTTACCTATTTAATCAATCAAGCTACAGCAGTCGAATGGCGGAACAAACTACACATTTTACCGAGTCTCATGAAGTTTTGGCTTACGATCAAGAAGCGAGCCCAAGGAAATCAATTTGATTTACAGTAGATCGGAAAAGCATATTAGATATTGATAGCTACTGACCTTGGAGCAATTTTCAACCCTCTTTACCAATGAACTTAGATGGCCACTGGCGCTTCTGGAGCCATCTCCATTTTCCGACTACCTCGTCCCGCTCATCTAACATTGATTAACTCTCCAAAGCTGCTGTGTGTCACATTCAACTCCCCGGAGCAGTTGTCCATATCACTTCAACGGTGGTATGAGACCAAGGGAAAAATTGGGGGACACATCCGATGCTGTGAAAGCAGACCCAGAAATATAAGGAGGCAGCAAACTGAGGCTTTAATACGACCCCAAGCTTCGGTGACACTAGAGCGATGCAGCTCTGAGAATAATAGTCTGTGTCTCCCAAGTGTCCTGCCTAAATCCATTGAAAAAAACTACAACGGGCCGGTTCTATCGGAATCGGCCAACTAGTTCCAACATCAAGTCCCTCACCAGCAGACGGTTTCACGTCAACTATCCCACAACACTCTGAGGTTGTTAGACTCACTGTCAGTTGCCTATATAGCAATGTGAGGGGGCTGAGAGGGAAAGTAGATGAACTCCGAAATCTCCAAGCACACCTTCAACTGAAAATAATCATTCTTACTGAAACGTGGCTAAACCCCACTATCGCCGACAATGAAATCAGTATAGGTGATATGGTACTGGTCAGAAGAGACAGGGATAATAAGGAAGGAGGGGGAGTTGCTATATACTTTGATAGGCAACTTAAATGTGTGCGCGCAACGGACCCACCACTTATCGAACTCCCAGACTCCATATGGTGTCATTTCACCGTAGGCCACACCAAGCACTTACTGGGTGGCATCTACCGATCTCCTACCTGTGGGGCAGAGCACAATCAGCTACTGCTCAGCGCTATCACAGGAATACGAGATTTGGGCTACGACCAAATCACCATAGCTGGAGATTTCAATGCTCCATCACTGAACCTCGGCTCCGGGTGTGCTAAGGGAAAATTTGGCCGAAACCTACTGCAAACTATTCGAAACACGGGACTGACTGAGAATGTTGGAGACGACACTAGGTGGGGCCCTAGTGGAAAGTCATCAAAACTAGATTATATTCTAACTAGTGACCAGCTACTCGTCGAAAAGGTCCAGATCATGACTCCTCTGGGAAGCAGTGACCATGCAGTCATAGGTTTCGATCTTGTCCTCCGTGAGCGTTTGCAATGGGATGTTACGCGACCATGTCTGTGCTACAGCAAGGCTGACTATGCTGAAATGCGGAGGCTCTTGTCCGACGCAGACTGGCCCTTAGCATGGGACGACCTATCTGTGGATGAACACTGGGAAGTGGTAAAAAAGATTATCCACACAGCAATCTCGGATACCGTCCCTTTAGTCACAACACAGCCTAAGAGAAAGACGTCATGGTTGAAGAGAGGCACGCAACGTATTCTGCAAGCAAAGCGGAAGGCTTGGTTTACGTGGCGTGTATCTAAGAGTCAGACCGACCATGATGCATACCTCGAACTCAGGAACCGGTGTAATGCAAGAGTCAGGAGGGACAGAAGGTCATTCCAGGCTAACCTTGCTAAAAAACTCCTATCAAACCCTAAAAACTTGTACCGATTCATGTCGGAAAGAAAACCGACAAACCAAGGGGCATGCGCCTTAGTAGGCCCAAACGGTCAATATCTCACTAGTCTGGAGATGGCTGAAACATTCAGTTCAGCCTTCGCTAAACAGCTAAACAGCAATGTGGATATTACAGTTACGGACCAAAATGGTGGCACCACTATTTCAGAGAAGGAAGACCTAGCGACTACTCCCCAAATAAACCCCGCAATAGTACTAAGGAAGCTACAGCGACTCATACCTGGGAAGTCCCCAGGTTGTGATGACATCAGGCCATCTGTTCTGAAACAGTGCGCCGAGGCTCTCTGTAGACCCCTGTGCGACTTGTTCCAACACTCAATGGATTCGGGGACCCTGCCAAGGGAGTGGAAAAGAGCCATCCTTTCTCCAATCTTCAAGGGTGGGGACAGGCAAAACGCTGCTAGCTATAGACCAGTAGCTCTACTCCCAGTGGTATCAAAAGTACTGGAAAGTATTATTGACGACCACATCAGGGATATTTCGATAGGACTAATATATTACATGAAGCCCAACATGGTTTCAGAAAAGGCAGATCCTGCGTCACTAACCTACTGTCAGCTTGGGACGACTGGACATCATGCTGGGACTTGAACGTACCAGTCCATGTGGTCTTCCTAGACTTTGAGAAGGCATTTGACACTGTTCACCATGACCTTCTCCTACATAAAATAAGCCAGGCAGGCATAGGTGAGCCACTTCTGTCATGGTTGAAGGACTACCTAGCCGACAGGCAATTTTGCACTAAGGTTAACCGAGTCCGATCATCTTGGCACAGATCGTCATCAGGAGTGTCGCAGGGTTCTATCCTAGGACCACTGATGTTTTTGATTTTCATCAATGATCTACCACGCCGCCTGAGCTGCCCGACTCTCCTGTACGCTGACGACGTAAAAATATGGAGGGCGATAAAGTGTCCGGAGGACTCAGATAGGCTACAGGAAGACCTAAACCTTCTGGAAGACTGGGCGGTGGCCAGTGGCATGACTTTCAACTTGAAAAAGTGCAAAGTAGTGAAGTTGCGCACCTGTAGACTGCAGAATGCAAGTTACACCCTGTGCAATGAAAGCTTGTCCTGCACAACGTCGGAACGCGACTTAGGTCTAGTTCTAACGGAAAAAATGGACACAAGCGTAAATTACACAGGGGATGTAGCGAGGGCATATGCGGTCATACACTTTACGCATAGACAGTTAGGTGCACTCACTCCTGAGCTCTTTCTAATGTTGTACAAAACATACGTCAGGCCACACCTTGAGGTGCATAATATTATTGCACCCCCAATGCTGAGAAGAGATGCCAACCTCTTGGAAAGAGTCCAACGACGGGCAACAAAAGGAGTGGTTGGTCTCCGAAACAAACCATATGATGAAAGGCTGAAGAAATTAGGCCTGTTCACACTTAGTTACCGTCGGCTTAGGGGGGATTTGATTACTGCCTACAAAATAACAAATGACCAGAATCACCCAAACAAAGGTGTTCTGCCATTGAGTAGGTATAGGCTTCCACGTGGAAATCCCAGAAGGATAGCTCACCAGAGGGCAAGGACCCGGGTGCGCTCCCACTTCTTTTCACTGCGGGTTTGTCGTCCCTGGAATTCCTTACCGGCAGATGTAGCTATGGCACCGTCTTTGGACGCCTTTAAGCGAAGGCTGGACAACCATGCAGCGATACAAGGACTGCATCCAAATGGCCTATCTCCTTAAAATCGCATACACCATTCAGGGTAGATAATTAAACTCGTCGTTTTACTTCTTTACATTCTCTCCCGTCTTACTCTCCTGACAACTTATTAATATTATAATTACTTATTATTATTATTATTATTATTACTATTACCGATATATATATTATTCTTCAAACTTAATGAGCTGACTGTTGTTACGTTTCCTATTTTCGTTTCTGTCTCTTAGTCTGAATAGCTTCACTAATTATATCTATTATTATTATTATTACTATCTCTTTTCTCTTGTCGACAATACCGAAGGACTAACTGGCGAAAGGATCAACTCCAATCACAGTAGTAACAGTCTTAACATACCTCATACTACAAACCACATATAATTAATCCCAGCACTACTCCCTTTGGAGTCAACCAAAGCTACGACAGTCGAGTGGCGGGACAAGCTACGCAGAAGTTTACCGAAGATCAAGAACCTATACCTCACAATCAAGAAGCGAGCACAAAGAAATCAAATTGGTTTATACTAGCTCGTAAAAACGATATTGGATATTGGGTATTGGACCTTGAGGCGGTAACCTCATACAGCATTCATTTGAACAGACGGGATAGGATAGAGGCACAAATCAGCTGTTTGCTGCAGTTTTAAGGCGTTATCGTGGCGCTGTGTTTGGGCTATTTTACGTTGTTTTTAGTGGTTTTTTCGACAGAAATGCATTTTAAAAATCATATTTTAACGAAAAAACGTGTAAAAAGTGAGAAAAGTAATCGTTTTCATTGTGTTGACAAAATGCTGTTTTTTCATCGAATTGACATCCCGAGATGCATAAGAAATGAAACAGTTCATTGGAAAATGTCAATTATGATAGAAAATGCTAAATAATTACAAATTTTGAAGTTTATTTTACGTATATGGTGAGAAAAGGATTAAATATCGAGGTAATTATAATTTCATGATTTTTACCAAATTGCTCAGAAATGAAGGAAATTGAGTTGGTTATTTCGTCAGATAACGGTGAAGAGATAGTCATTTAACTAGTACGTACTGTCTTATATGTTTATCTATTTAACTCATCACATCTTGACTGAATGTTTATTTTTAATTTCCAGATTATGGTCTTCAATCCCGCAATCACTCAATACATTTAGACATTCTAATTGGGATTAAAAACGATAATATTTTTGTAAATGATGGAATTTTTGTGATATTAATAATGTATTTATCGAAATAAATATTGTTTTACAAATTTTGCTCTATTAATACTTAGTGTTTGTCGAGTTGCAAAGTGATGCCAATGTAGAAGACGTAATATTCGTAAAATGTCATATTCACACGTTGCCGAATTTCGTCACGATGGGGTACTGTTATCGCTTTTGAGTAATTGCTTTCGCTAGTAAATCTTAAACAGGCGATATGCACAACAAAGGCGTATTTAATGCGTCACAGTATTTCATTATATCAAAATAATCAACGAAGTTTAGTGACGTAGTCAACTAATTAGTTGCATTAATGCACGAGTCTAAGCGTTGGTGTGATCATGTAAGAGCCTTTTGATACGAAATGATAACACAAGAAGAGTAATGTAGTTTTCTCCTTATTACCTAATGATACCCTTCGAGATAGTGGTGTTAAACGCAACATAATAATAACGGAGTATTTGTGATAAGTAGGACACACGTCGCATTGTGTACTTGAAGTACCTGGACTACTAATACATGTCGTCTGTATATAGAACCTACGTTTGCTAGACTTTGTTTCGTTATTACAGTACGAACACATATTTGACGGCTACCTTCTTAACAATCTTGAATATTAATCTAATATGCAACTGAAACACTTTACGCAAGGCTTGATGACGCATAGAGGAAGTAATAACAGTTTATGACTGACGCATTTCACGTTAGTATTAAAACGTTGCCTATCATTCTCGTTAACTCTGCAATGTCCTCAAAATAAGTAAAAGGGACAAAGTTAGTCGACATAAATGCATATATTTGTAAGGAAACAATAATCGATCAAATTAAAAATGATTCATAATAAAAGAGTACATATATACACAAAAAAGAGTTAATAACAGTCCAGTGAAAAAATCACAGTTGTAGAGTTTTTTATAGCTGCATCATAGTCATCATAAAGTCCACCAAACACTCTATCCACAACATTTGTGTCAGTTTGCCTCCGTTGTTAGTGGTGTTGGACCAGTCTTTGCAGTTTTCGTCACCACCAGTTTCGTTCGCAGAAACTGGATGTGAACTTTTCAAGCGGAGATTGAGATTGTATTCTTTCGAATGCCTTCGGCCGTATTGGGAAATATCTGAAGATGTATACATGTCAGGTAAATTATTCTTACCTTTGGTGAACAATTCCTAATCTTAGCCACAGTGAATATGTGAACAAGGCAAAGAACAACCACAGAGTTGGTGAAATTCTACAGATTAGTCGTCTATATATTCCACGATAGATTTCAGGAATCATGTAACTTCCAAATCACCTGTCACAATTTTTCTTCTATAAAAAGCAAATAT